GGAAAGAACAGATTATTTAGTATTTAGATGGTATTGAGAAAACTCGCTCACCATATAGAAGAAAGTGAAACTGGATTCCTAGAGAGAATCACATACATAGATGGATTCTGAATGGATTAAAGACCTAAATGTGAAAGATAAAACTATATAGTTCATAGAAGAAAACATAGGATAGTACCTTTGTGACCTAGATACAAGGAAAGCCCTCTTAAATAAAATTCCAAGGCACAAAATATAAGGCCAAAAAAAAAAAAAAAGAATCAAAGAATTTGATTATGTCAAAATTAAGGATTCTCTTCAACAAAGCACATTAGAAATTTCATTAGAATGCCGACAGAATAGGAGAATATATTTATAATATCTAAAGTGAATAAGAGATTAATGTCTAAAATAGTCAAGGAATTCCTGCTAATCAACAAGAAAATGATAACAATTACAGTAGAAAAATGGATAAAAGATGTGAACAGGCAGTTTACAGGAAACCCCCAAAAGCAAACAAGCATTTAATGAGATGCTCAAATTCAATGGTAATCAGAGAAATAGGAAGTAAAACAACAATGAGATATCATTATACTTACTAGTCTGGCAAAATTTAGGTACCTGGATGACACTGCTAAGGATGTGGGCACATAGTAACCGCTACATACAAACTGGTGATGTGCAAACTGGCAGACATTCTGGAGAGGAGCCTGGCACTACCTACGCCAATTAGGTCTACATATACCCAATGACCCAGCCACCTTTCCCCTGATGGATACCCCAAGGACATTCTCCTAGAGGAATACGATTTCTTTTTAAATGCATATATAATTTTTTTACATTAAAATGGTTCAATCAGAAGGTATGGAAATGGGTAAGAGGGATAAAAAGAAATACCTGAGTGATTGAATGAAATGAGAAGGGGCCCTGCACAGATCAGTGATGAGAGGTACCATGGTCTTACGAGGACCGCTGAGTCAGCACCGCACACCTTGGCAAGTGCTGGTGGTGGGTCGTGATGGGTGAGGGAGGTGGTCTCACACAGGCTGGCGAAGCTTGTAAATTATAAGATAGAAAAAGTCCTTTATGAAGTTAAGCTGAGGGAAACAACTCAGTTAACTTCAAGAGACAAAAACCAGACTGCTTCAGACATCTCTCTGTTTCTAAATACCAGAAGACAAAATAGCTTCCGAGCTTTGAGGATAAAATAATTTTGAGTTCACGCGGCCCAATAAGCTTTCCATGTGTGGAGGCAACAGAAAACACTCTTAAGATATGCAAAGATGCAAAAAAATATACCATCGTGAACATTTCTTGAATCAAAGAAAACATTCAACTCATCTTTAGGAACATAAAAGTAAGGCCTTATCCTTATATGTAAAATATTAAATTACCTTTTGTAGAAAGAGGACAATCCTTACGAGCATCTGGGCACGGAGCTCTTCCAAGGTAAACAATGTTTGGGGTGTTCGAATGAAAATTTTGGTCTTCCCATAAGCTACATCATCCTGAAAGCCACAATGTTTAATCAGTTTCTTGACAGCCTCTTTGTCTGAAGGGAGGTCATGGTTGGGCCAGGTGAATTCAGAGATCATTTTGTACCTGGATGAAAAAAAGAACAGGGCACGGATTAAGGGAGAAAAACCATGTGGTATCAATAGATGCAGAAAAGCTATCCAATAAAATTCAAGATGCTTCATAGAAAAAAAGAAAAAAAAAAACTTAGCAAACTAGGAATAGGGATGAATTTCATTAGCCTGATAAGAGTCATAGAAAAAGGCTTCAATAAAATACAACACTCCTTCAATAAAATACAACACTCCTTCAATAAATACAACACTCACTAAACAAGGATTAGAAGGGTATTCCTTAATTTAATAAAAGCTATTTGCCAAAAACTTGCAGCAAATATTATTTGTAATGTGGCAACCTTGGAAGCATTGTCTTTACAAACAGAAACAAGAAAAGGATGCCTCTATCATGGGTTTTTGAACGGGTAAATGACTGGGGAAGGAACAAAACATCACTTATGAACAATATGACTCGCTTCAAAGGACATCAAGCAGATCTTCAGATAAAGTATCATCGCTAAAAGAAAACTAAGCACAGTTCTGCACATAAGGTCAAATACACAGATCATTTGCAATTCTACATACAAGCAGCCAACAGTTCCTCAGTACGTGGCCCTCTCATAGGTTAGTGTACTACACACCAGCTTCTTCGTGAGGGTGACCGTAAGACAGTAGTCACAGAGTCTCAGCCTTTTGTGGCCTAATCTCACGAGCGACATCCCATCACTTTTGACATATTCCATTTTGCTAGAAGCGATTCACTAGGGCCAGCCCACACTCACAGGAAGGGGATTACACAGGCATGAATACCAGTGGGGATCACTGGGACCAGCTTCGAAGGCTGCCTACTGCAGTGCTTTTCCTCCACCCTTGGTGCAAAGTTGTTTAATACATGTAGTCAAATTTAGTAATGTTTTTCACATACTGCATCTGAATTTTAAGTCATAGTGAGAAAGGCTTTCCTCACATTCAGGTTACAGAGTAATTCACCTATGTGTTCTCCTAGTACTTACATGTTTTCATATTTTACACTTAGATCTCTGGTCCATTTGGAGTTTATTTTGATATGGATCCATATGATACGGATCCAACTTTTGACAAAAGGCTATTTCCGATATTATTTACTAAAACGTCTTTCTCCCTCTGATTTAATATGCCATTTTATCATATGCTAAACTTTCACATGTACTTCTGTTCATTTCTGGGCTTTCTGGTCTGTTTCATTGCTTTGTCTGTCCCTCTGCCCCATCGGTACTGTAAATTTCTAATTATAGATGTTATAAGTATACTGTAATATCTGGTGGTCTTTTCTCCTTCTTTTCCTTTTTATTATTATTAAAAAAAATTTTTTTTTGCGGTACGCGGGCCTCTCACTGTTGTGGCCTCACCCGTTGCGGAGCACAGGCTCCGGACGCACAGGCTCAGCGGCCATGGCTCACGGGCCCAGCCGGTCCATGGCATGTGGGATCCTCCCGGACCGGGGCACGAACCCGTGTCCCCTGCATCGGCAGGCGGACTCTCAACCACTGCACCACCAGGGAAGCCCCTTTTCCTTTTTAAAGGTATTTCTAGATATTCCTATGTGTTCATTTTTCTATATGAACTTTAGAATCAATTTGCATTGTTCCGGGGAAAAACAATCACAAAACAAATGAATCCTTTCTGGTATTTTTATTGGGTTCCCATGTTAAATTCATTAAATTTAGCTTTGATGTTGAGTTGTCCTATCCAAGAACAAGGGATATCATTCCATTAGTTCAAGTCTACTTTCATGCCTTTCAGGAGTCTTCATGTTTTCCTCCTAGGGCTTTACACATTTCTGGTTAAGACACTATGTATCTAAGGGGCATCTGATCCCTTCTTCTTGATGTCTCTCTTTTCCTGATTTCCATCTTAGCTTCCACAACAGCACACTCTCCCTAGCTTCCTTCTGTCTCTCTGGATATCTCTTCTCAATCTCATTTTCTGGCAACTCCTCATTACTGGACCCCCAAATGTTGGAGTGTCCCAGAGCGCAAATCAGGCCCCCTTCTCTCTATGTACAACCTCCCACGTCGCTTCATCTATTCCATCCACTTTGTTTTTCAACTCATGCATTTATTATCCCAAGCCCAGTTCTCAGTTCTGAGCTTCAGACGCACATATTCAATGCCTATATAGACCTAAAGGTATCTTAAATTCCTCTTTCAGTCCTTCCTACATCAATGTCCTCAGTTACTAAAGCCAGAATCCTGGGAGTCATATTTGATCCCTTCTCTTCTCTATCATTCCTTCTAAACCATTATCAAGTCTATTGGCTCCACCTCCAAAATATATTTAAAATTCAACTATTCTCATCTTTACTGCTACAATCCTAACATAAGCCACCATCAAGTTTACTACAATAGACTCCTAACCTGTTTTCCATTTCCTCTTCAATCCATTCTGCATATTTAGCAGCCAGAGTAGTAGTCCAAAAAGCCTCACATCGTCTTTATCTTTTACTGCTCTCCTGCTTTCATTATGCTCCTCCAGTCGCCTTGGCCTTCTTTAGGGTCCTGTAATGCGGCTGCCTCTTTCTTGCTTTGGAGACTTTGCATATGCTGTTCCCATTGCCTGGAATGCTTTTTAACCTACTCTTTGAAAGGCTGAGACTCCTCATAGTCTGTTTTTGATTTTCCTTCATCAACCATCAACCCTCACCCCCATTATTCCTCTCTAGGGCAGCCAGATGGGTTTCTTTTCCTCACACCATTCATCACAGTTTGTAATCATATTGATCTGTGTGTTTGTCTGTTGAATGTCAGTCTATGGGTACCACGAAGGCAGGGGTTTTGTTTTGTTCCCCACTATACGCCATGTGCCTATCGTGTTGTCCACCATACAATGAGGAACGAGATATCTACTGAATGAAAGAATGGAAGAAAATACATTTAAAAGTCTAGTCACTTGCCAGATCGAGACAGAAACAGAAACCAAAGAGTTCTAATATGAAGAGAAAGGTAATACTAAGCAACGTCACGTGAAAAAAGGAAATAAAATCTAAAAACTTCCAAATTCATTGTAGAACTATCGATAGAATAAGAGTCAACAGGGAGTAATGGCATTTGTTTAAAGTTTTAGGCATGTTGCAGAAACTAGAAGCAATCCTACTGCCACACTGCTCAGCTAACACATCAGGGAAACGGTGCCCTTCCTTTCTTCCTGACGGTCAAGGGCATGCCCCAAGTTCTTCAGCAAACCAGCATCCTGAACTTGCAAATTAAAAAGCTAAATTCATCTGCTTTCTGACAGCCAGTTTTACCTCCCTGAAAGACTTTAGCAGCTTTTAAGGTTATCAGTACATTTAAAATCCTTCTCTCTCTTTTTCAATAAAAGAATGAAAATGAAAGTGACAAGTAGAAATTTAGGTTCAAAGCTAGCTTACAAAAAATCTGCAGAATCTAAAAGCACAAACTCATTGCAGAAAATCTTACATTTTCTCCCACCAGGACTGAAAACATTCATCCAATGTCCTACACACCTTCCATCCTACCCCATGTCCCACTGTTAATTAGTTCAGTCAGTATGACATTAAAATAAAATGCCAATTTTTCAATGTGAACAAACTCATTTTACGTAAAGTGGCAGATAAACACAGCCTGCAGAGGAGGGATAGACCATCTTCCCAGATGCACATCCCACCATCTCATCCAGCACTCTTCCTAGATGACTCTAGTAGAGAGGACCCAATCTCGACTTAGACAGTCATCAACTGCAGAGACTTCAGTCTTTCCACAATTCTGTCTTTTAAAGGGCAAGTTTGACACTTTTAGTGTGATTATTAATATGCTTCAGTTTTCTCAGCTTCTCATTTAATGTTTTCTATTAGTTGTGTTTCCCTTTGTTGCTTTTTACCCTATTTTTTCTTGGGCAGACTGAGTTTTCTTCTTGCCATTTTATTCCTTCCTCTGATAAAGCCGCACATTCAGTTGTGAGGCGGTGCACTGTTAAAGACGATAGGTTCAGGAGCCAACTGCCTGAGTTCAGACACGGCTACACCACTACTTGTCTCCGTGACCTGAGGCAAGTTCCTTAACCTTTGTGTGTCTCGGTTTCCTCATCTGCATAAAATGGGGGTTGTCAGCTTTAGGGACAGACTACATGCAGACTGTTTAAAACAGTGCCGGGTACATATGGTGTGAGCACTTCACAATGTCAGCACTATTATTATTATCATCTTGAAAAATTAAATATGTAAAATTTTATTTATGTAAAAATACATACTTTTTCCTGTCTAGTTAATTAACATCTATATTCTTCCCATAAGGAGTACAAAAGTCTTTACTTCTCTATATTTCTCACTACTATTTTAATTTTTGTTGCAAATGATTACGACAGACTTCTTTTTCCCCCTTACAATCAATACTTGTTCAGATTTCACAAAAAGTTTTACCTACTTATTTGTTCAATGTTGCTTTCTTGCATTCCATATTTTCCTCCTGCATTTATTCTCCTTTTTGCTAAAGTATATCTAGAGATTTTTCAGAGGGTCTATGACCCTCTCAGAATAGTAAACTTTCTAATCCTATATATGTCAGAAAACATTTTTACTTTGCCCACACTCTTGAATGATAACTTGGCACGGAATAAAATTCTAAGCATAAACTTCATTCCCCTTCACTATGAACATACTGCTCCTTTGTCTGTTTACACTGACTGCGGCTAATGAGAAGTCTGACGTCAGTATGAGTCTCATTCCCTCATAGGTAGTTTGCCTTTCTTCTTGGGAGCTCTAAGCATTTTTATCTATGTCTAACATTCTTAAACTGAACACAATGCACTTAAGTTTCATTACGAAACTTCATATGCTTTACGCTCAGTGTATTCTTTCATTCTGACCCCTAGACTCCTCTTTCCTTCTGAAGCTCCAGTTAGATGGCTTTTGGCCCTCCTGCATCAACCTTATACGCGGCTTGACCTTTCTTTAGCACTTCCCATCTCTTTTTCTTTGTGATGAGGTCTGGAAGAAGTCTTCAGCTTGATCTTCTAGCTCACTAAGTTGTTTAAAGGAAGTTTAGTTAAGAAAAAAATTTTTCTAATTGTGGTAAACTTTATGTATAGTAAAATGCACACATTTAAGTACACGAATCAGTAAGTTTGAAAAATGTGTACACCCATGCAACTGACATGCCAATCAAGATACAGATCATCTCCATAATCTCAAAGAGTTCCCCCATTGCCCTTCCCCCTTTCCAGTCAACCCCCAACCCAGAGCAAAGCACTGCTCTGATTTCTATCTGTTCTTAAACTTCATGTAAATGGCAGCATCAAGAAATTACTCTTTGGTGACTCCTTTTCAGCATAATGTTTTATTCATCCATGTTGTTGCTGTATTAGCCATTCATTCTCTTTAATGCTGATTAGTAACCATTGTATGATGACACTACAAATTGCTGACTCCTTCTATTGATGGACAATTCACTCTTTCATTGTGCTTGATCTGGTTTTCATTTTCTAAATCTCTAATTAGTTCTTTTTAATAACTACCTGCTCTTGTTTCTAACTTTGTACTCCTATTTTAGGACCATAATTCTCTCCTTTATCTCTTGGAGAATATGAAATAGGTTTATTCTAATGTCTTTCACTCCTTGCTCTGGTCCCTTGGGGGTGAGGTTTTTTATTTGTTGAGCTTATTGTCTCTTTTTCAGTGGTCTGGCCTTTCTCAGATGTTTGACTGTTATCTCGTCTCCTTTCCCAGAGTCCTTCTATGTACGTGTACATCTTGGCCTTTGTTGGCCTCTTGTTAGGTGGCTACTTTTGCTTCCTGAGTCTTGGCCAATATACCTATGACGTCTCCGTTACAGTTGCTGAGGTGGTTACTTGCACTGGCCATTAACCTCCCGGTGCGGCAGCTGGGTAAACTCCAGCACAGTAGCTGAGATGCTTCCTGAATGGCAGCTCAAGCCTCACAAGGCAGTCTCTCCTTAAAACTGTGACCTCGGCTTACTTCTGGGTCTTCATGTCTGCTTCATATTGTATTTAGGAGTGATTCACATCTTTAAGGTTCACTGCGAATCCCCCTTTTGATTCCATAGTGTGGCTATGCATTAACGTGGCTTTAAATACACATATTTTATATTATTGGGGGATGTTCTGGAGTGGGAATGGGAGATTTAAGCTTGTACTCCTAAGACCATCATATTTGAAATTCATAGGTTCTTTTTAATCTTTTCTATTTTTACATGAGCATTAGAAAACAGAATCCAATCCTTATAGCATGTCTTTCATGCCAAAAAACACACCAAACATCTTGAGTTGAAAGTAAAATAGGTGCATAAAGAGATTAAGAGTGAGGATATGCACTTGCAAAAGTCCTTGTCCCCTCCAAATCAAGCTTGCTTATTCTCTTATTTCAACTTCTTTCCATGGCTTCTATTATCATGGTGTCATGATAATATATTTTTAGTTAGATAAATATATATTTTAGGTAAATATACTTTTAGTTCAGCCCCATCCTATAGTTACCCATTCCCACCCTGCTCATTCTAATACTTAATTTCTGCTGATCTTATATACGTGACAACACAAAAATCAATACTACAATTGAGTAATTGCTAGAGTTCTGAGTAACGACAAGGGACTAACAATCTTCCTATTAATATAATTTGACACTGTTTGAAGTCAAGACTCAGAACGAACACATCTCTACTCATGACAACACTCCTACTCCACAGCCTCAATTTTAAAAAAACCCAAATTTAAAGAACAGTATGATTTCAATAAGGAAAATGATCAGTTTTGAGCATAACCTTTTGATCCGTATAAAACTGTTTCAATTTTCTAGGCTATTCTGCTATAAAGTTTTATCCATTCCAAGAGTCTCCAATTAGTGTAAATCCCTTTCCCTTCTTCTTTTTTTTTTTTTTGTGGTACGCGGGCCTCTCACTGTTGTGGCCTCTCCCGCTGCGGAGCACAGGCTCCGGACGCGCAGGCTCAGCGGCCGTGGCTCACGGGCCCAGCCGCTCTGCGGCATGTGGGATCTTCCCGGACCGGGGCACGAACCCGCGTCCCCTGCATCGGCAGGCGGACTCTCAACCACTGCGCCACCAGGGAAGTCCCCCTTTCACTTCTTCACACAAGTAGCTGAACACTGGTGGAGAACGACAGTGCTCGGTGGTGTCACTGTACACTTATAACCTCAAATGTCAAGTGGGCGCTCAGATCTTCCTAGCGGCAAAACTACTGTACACACCTATGCTTCCCCACTCTCCAAAATGAGTATTTTCATTTCCCCTCCAACCTCCTACACCACATCTCCTAATCTTCACTCTCAGCTCATGACCTTGCCTCATACTTTATTGAGGAAATGGAAGCAATCAGATAGGAACATCATCTTTGCCATCAGCCAAGCTTCCAGGCTTCCTGCATCTGTATTCATATTCTCTGCCTTTCATCCTGTTGCTAAGGGTGAAGCATCCCTGCTCCCATCTAAAGCTGACAAACCTTCCACTTGGGATTTCATTCGTTGCCTTCTCAAGGATGTTATTATTACAAGTATCTCCCTCCCTCCTGTGTCGCTGGTTTCTCCCTCTGTTCTGAATCATCCCCACCTGCATACAAACATTTTTTAGTATCTCCTTGACCTCACATTCCACTCTGGCTGCTGCTTCTAGTTTTCTCTGCTGTCATTCATAGCACACATTCTTGAGTTGTCCAGAGACATCCAACTTCTCACTTCACTTCCCCATCCTGCTCAAATGGGGCTCTGTCCAGCCTTTTCTCCTTTGACCTCTATGTTGCCTAGTCTAATGGTTGAGCTCCTGCTTTTATCTTACTTGATGGCACAGCAACATTTAATATGATAACTGTACTTTTCTTCTTGAAATGCCATCTTCTCTTGGCTTCTGTGACATAACCCTCTTCTGATATTTCTTCTATCTTCTTGGCTGCTGCTTCTCTTCTCTTCGCTCATTCTTTCATGTCAGACCACAAAGCTAAATGTTGGCATGGGCCTCCTCCTCTTTTCTATCCCGTTCCAACACTTTGTATACAATCTGTATACCAATAACTCCAAAATTTCTATTTCCAGCCTGGACTCTTCCCAGAACTCCAGATTTGTATGGCTAATAACTTACTTAGTATTTCTACCTAGACATTTAGTAGCCATTTCAAACCTAACACAGTCAGGAGACAATCTTCATTCCATCTTTGCCCCAGTTTCATGTCCTCCTCCTCAAGCTTCTCTTCCCCCATCTTTCTCACCTCAGCAAATGGTACCATGCTTACCCCGATGCTCCAGCCAGAATCTACTTGTTACCCTTCATCCCTCTCTACTACGCTCTCATCACGCCAATCCATGAGCAAGTCTAGTCCACCTTTCCACAGAACATACCCTGAATCAGTCCACTACTCTTGGATCTACAATAATTCCTTGTTCAAGGCACTCTCGTTGAGCTGCCTCTCCTGGATTCCTGCAATAGCATCTCTAAATGTCTCCTTGCTTCCTATTCACACAGCAGCCACAGTGATATCTTAAGACATCCATAAGATTGGGTTGCTCCCTGCATAAAATCCACCAGTGGTTTTCTACCACACTTAGCCAAAATCTAAACTGTTTGGTCTAGATTACAACATTCAACATGATCTGGCCTATGTCCATCTCTGATCTCACGCTACACCACTGCCCTGTCACTCAGCATCCTCCAACCACACTGGATGATGTTTGGTACCTAAAACACCACTTATTATTGCAAGAGAGACTTTTTCTCTGCTGTTTCCTCTGCTCCACCTGCTCTTTTCTTTGACCTTTGTATGGCTGACCCCTTCCTGCCATTATTATCTCTTTAGAGACTCTTCTCACCAATCAATACTTTATGTATTTGTTTATTCATATTTTGTGGAATCTGCAATCTACAACGTAGGAAATCCTCAATAAATATTTTAAAATAGGTGAATAGATGGAATTTAAAACACTATTTTTATGATACCAGGTGTCAACTATCATTATTGTTAGTAACAATAAATAACAATAGCAATGATACCTTACACTTATTGAGTGATTACTATATGCCAGGTACCATTCTAAGTACTTCACATATATTACTTCATCCCCCAGCAGCCCTACTAGGTAGTTACCATTATTATTCCCATTAAAAGAAATTAATTAATTTCCCCCATTTTATACATAGGAACCTGAGGCATGGAAAGGTTATATGATTTGCCTAAGGTCAAAAAGCTAAGAAATGGCAAAGCCAGGATTCAATCAGGTAGACTAATTTTAGGGCCCCCATGATTAACTACTTAATATTTTGTTATTATTATAGTTAGCAATATCGGTAATGCTAAGCAGCATTAACTGAACATCTATTATGTGCCAGGCACCTAGCCTTTTTACTTTGGTTAATTTAATCCTCACAACAAAAGGCTTATGAGGTAGTGTTACTATACTCATTTTATAGATGCAGAAGGAGAGTCAAAGAAGCTAAATTTCTAGCTCAAGGTCGTGCAGCAAATGAGTAGCACAGCCAGGATTCCAACCCAGCTGTGACTGCAAATCCTTGTTTATTCTCCTATACTACATGCCCCCATTTTCTCCATGAAGAATAAAATTTTTTCCCATGGTCCGTACACCACAGACTCAAGGGGACTCCTGCCGATTGTGGGAAGGTCTTTCGTAGTTGCAGTTTCCTCACCTCTTCTGTTCATTCAACAAACATTTAGATTGTCTGACAGGAGCTGATGCATGGTTAAACGTGGAGAGGACTCCATAATTCTCAGTGTGCTAGCAGGTTTCCTTGTTCAGTCTATTCTCACCTGTGAAGAAACTTCTCATAGGTCTGGCGGAAGGCGAACCCTGCCCGACGCACCCTCACATTTTCCAGGAGTCCAAGATACTCTACTTGATGCCGGCAGCGCTCATCGTCAAAGATCTGTGGGGACTTCTTGTCGTTGGGTTTGATGCAACGTACATAATATGGTTCCTAAAGAAATGAATCGGCAAATGATAAGTTTCACTGGAGAAAACTCCCAGACTAAAGACACTGACGTGTCATTAGTGTTAATAGCTGTGTCAAATCAAGCTCTGTGACTCTCATTTCTCAGGCACAGACTTATAAAAATCTTCTTCCTTCCCCTTCAACTTAAATTTCCCTTCAATTCAATGCCTGGAAATTCTCAGGCATTCAGTTAACATTTTGTATTATTATATTTTAGGCCTCATCAGGAATAGTAGAAAGGGGGTAAGACTAGGGTGTAATCAACTGAGACATGTAAACATCAAGTTTTTGTGTATTTACAGAAACACTATTAAAAGTAACAGAAGGAGTAATTTAATAGGAAGAGGCAGAAGCTGTGGTCAAAATGCATTGTTGAAGAATGTAAAATAATTGGCACAGCCCTGCTACATACTAAGTGTTCCTTTCAGCTTTGAATCATTTCAGTCCTTCAAATTGGAATAGCTTCTTTGGAATATCAGTGCTTTTACGTGCCTAGAAGGAGCAAAGATAAATCTTCCCTAGAGAAAGATTAACTTGGGCCTCCAATTATTTCTATAAACAGTTTTGCAAATATAATATTTGGAACAAAATAAAAGTTAACCAGATATATAAGGAGCCAAGATAACATGAATTAGAAACAGCAAAACAGCATACAAAATAAAAAGATCTGTAAGGGTCCAGATACTGGAGTTATCAGACAGAAATATTAAAACAACTATGCTTAGCATGTTCAAGATGACAAAAGACAATATTGAGAACTTTTTTAGAGAACCAGAAACTACAAAAAAGAACCAAACCAAGTGGAAAACCTAGGACTTAAAAATACAATAATGGAAATTAAGAACTCAGTGGATCAGTAGAAGAGTAGATTAGAAATTGGTGAAGAAAAAAACTAGTGAACTAGAAGGAAGGTGAGAAGAATTTTCCCAGGATGGATCATGGAGATGGAAAATAAAGGAGAGAGGTTAAGAGGCACACAAGACACCGTGAAGTGGTCTAAGTAACTGGAGTCCCAAAGGGAGGAGACAGAAGGGGTAGAAGCAATATTTGAAGAGCTAATAGCCAAGAACTTTGTAAAACTGATGAAAAACAATTAAGCTGTAACAAACTGAAGAAGTCCTACAAACTGCAAGCAAGATTTAAAAAGAAAAATTTACCCCTAGGTACATCAGTTAAACTTCTGAAAACCAAAGAAGGGCAGCCAGAAGAAAAAAGGCTGACTACCTAAAGGAGCAACAAATAGACTGACAGCTGACTTCTCAAAAGAAAATATGGAATCCAGAAGACAAATGAGTATTGTCTTTGAAATGCTTAAAGAACTGCCAATGTAGAATTTTACACCCAGCAAAAATATTCTTCAAGAAGGAAAACAGCATAAAATATTTTCAGAATTTGTCAACATCAGGCCTCAGATATAACAGGATGAAGTTCAGGCAGAAGGAGAATGGTCCAAGAGGAAGCTCAGTGATAAAGAAAGAGGAAAAAAGAAGTAATAAATGAGTAAATCTAAACAGATATTGACTATTCCTAGTAGTAATAATAATGATGATGATGATGTCATCGTCTTACTGCGCTCGCTC